GCCCACCGTGACTTCTACCCTCCTCGCGCACTAAACCCTATCTCGCTGTTGCAAATCCGCACGGCACTGCTGCCCGCCCGCGGCGGCTACCGTCGTGCGCGGTGCGTGGCGAGGCGCAGTAGTAGTTGGGAAAGGGAAATATTGGGAGATAGATGGGGTAGATATGCGCGGTGCGGGTCATCTCGATGCGGGCCGCGGCATTAGCGCCTTTTACAACACCGCGCCGTCGCTACTACTCCTTTCCGATACGCCATCGCTAGCCTCATGCCGCTGCTCCTCTCCGCCGACCCGCCTCTCATGCTCATCGGGCTCAATCAACTAATCGTTAACAACGCGGCCTCCAAGCGGCCGGGCCGGGCCGAGCCGGGCGGGCAGGGCTGGGCTGGGCTGCTCATGAGCCCCGCACGGGGGGATCGTATGCCATTCCGCTCACTGCGCGTCCCATCCCATCCCCAAGGTCCGAGGGAGGAGGGGGCTTCCCTGCTTACAATGTGGCCCCGGCCCCCGACACGCCACGCCCCGCCGCCACGCCGTGCGCCGTCGATGCCGCCGCCGCCGCCCGGTCTGCTTCCATTTTTCTTCTCATCCTTCATCCCCCGCCCCGCTCCGCCACCTCTCCGTTGCGACACGACATCAGAGAGTGCGTGTGGGCCTCTCACCACCCACCCTTTCTCTCTCTCTCCCCGGAGCGGATCGTGCCCAGTCTGCTCTTGGGACGACAAGGTGCAAAAGGAAGCGATGCCGCGCAGAGCCACACCACGCCAAGCCACGCCACGCATTAGCGCGCTGGTCACGACCCGCCAGACAGTTTAACCTCTGCTGACAACGCGCTGCTCTCACACACACACACACACCTACACACACGCGCGCGGTGCTAGTGTGCTGCTGACAACGACTACCATTTGCCAAACACTGTTCGGTAGCACACAGCTAGCAGCCTCTTACTACACACTGCACGACGACGACGACGACGACGACGACGACGACGGTGTATATTTACCGATAGGAGATAGAGAAAGAGAGAGAGTGTATGTGTACTTTAAGGTGTATAGTGTGTGAGCCCGCCTGCCCCATCACCTCCGTCACCTGCTGCGCTGCCTGGCCCCTGTGCGCAGTGTGCGCCGACCGGTCGGCCAGCCGCCTGCACGGAACGCCTGTAGCTGGGCACGCCCGTCGGACACGGCTGCGCCTCGGGTGCCTACCTCCCAGGCGCTCGCCCGGGCCAACTGCTTGCTGCCCCTCAAAATTATATACGTTCGTTTGCGCATGTGTCATTGGCTGCTCCTCCGCGCTGAATACGATAATACAGTATTAACATATTATTGGTCCGCTCTGTCGGGGCCCGGCAGCCCATACCATACCATACCCGTCCTGGCCCGAGTCACGACAGTCCTTGGGGGTGGCGGCCCCTTGGGCGGCCCGGCCGCCCGGTGCGGTGCCGTACCGTGTGGTGTGGTCTGCCACATGTGCGACGGCCACCCCACCCCACCTCACCCCGCCCCGCCCCTGTCCAACAGGCACACAGCATCCGCGCCGCTCCCGCTCCCGTTGTCTCGCCAACACCGGACGCTTTAACGCCCCGCGGAAAGGAATTAAATGTACCACCAGTGGAGCGTGTCAATGCCGTGTTCGGGTAAGTGTCAGCCGGCCCCTCCAAACCCCTTTCGACTTGCGTTCCTTTCTCTCCCCCTGCCGCGAGAACTTTATATTTTAAAGGTCATCTGGACATATGGCGATACAAAAGGGTCCCCCACCCCGCCTCTTGGTGTTTGTGTGCATTTTCCAGTGCTCCTTTCAGTAAAAGTAGATCAGTCGGAGATATGTGAGGCGATCCGCATATATATTCGGTTTCGAATACGGCATTTTGCCGAGCTGCGTGCCTTATGCTCGGCAGTCTGGCGGGGCGTGGCGTGGCGCGGCGGGGCGCACTTGCGGTTGCGGTTTTATACTGCCTGATGGCGCACCGCGGTCGCACCACACAGCGACAAGGAGACCTCCGCCCGCCCCTCTCCCACATTACCTCCCCCCAATCCCCTCTCTCATTCTCTCGTAGATGTCTCCATTCACGCTCACACACACAGAGACTCATATGTCATATAAGCGTAATCAAGGCAGCACCCCGAAAAAGGTCTCCAACAGACTGCGGCGGTTCTGCAGCGCGCGCCGCGGGGAAGGCCGTGCAACAGTGTCCTGCCCACCGAGGCCCTGCCAAACGTCCGTCGTGCCGGCCGAAGCCGAATAAGATAGTCTCCTAGAAAGAAGTTTATTCACGGGGCTGGGCTGGCCTGGCCTGACCGGGTGAAGGTCGAGGTCGGGGCGGCTGCATCTGATGTTAATCCCTTGCTGCTTTCTCCTTGCCGCGCCGTCGTCGCGGTGGTGACGCGGCCAGCTTAGATGCGATCCCGTGATATCTGATTTATTGTGGCAATGCTCTAGCCCCCTCCGCCCCTCCCACACTCTTTCTCGTTTCTTTCTCGCACCCTGCTCGCTCCGCCCCAATAGCCTCGCCTGCTGCTGCCGCCGCCGCTGCTGATGCATCTTTTTTTCCCGCCGCCACCGACTGAGGTCTTCATTCTGCGATTAGGCGGCAGAAGGTCCTGCGCGCAGCATCCTTTTTCCTCCCCCCCCCCCCCTAACACCTTCGGCCTGCTGCTATAGCGCATTGAATGTCGCTTTCCGCAAGGATACTGGCGTGGCGTGGCGTCGGCGCGAATCCGAGACGAACGACAACTGTTGCCTGGCAAATGAAGCGCGGGGAAGGACTTACCTCCCTCCCTTTGCCCTGCCTTGCCTTCCCCGCGCGGCTCGTCAGGCGCTCTAATCGGCGGAACGTCTAATGGGTATCATCTGCCTTAGCAAGTGCCGCCCGCCCCGCCCCCGCCCTGCCCGGCCGTTGTTAGGTATACCGCCTAGGAATAAATATCTCAATTTATGATACCTTTACCTTGGGACGGCCCGGTGGGGCCCGGCCGCCGCTGACCCCGCGCTCCGCGCCCCCCCGGGCCCCCCGTGGGAACCGGCCTTGTTTTGGCAATGCGGCTGCACTCCGCCCCTGAACTTCCTCCTCCTCCTTCTCCTCTTCCCTTCCTCCGGCCGCGCCCATTGATATAGTCATCAGACCCATATGTTAGATCATTTTTCGGATGCCCCGATCTGCCGGCTGCCGCTGCCGAGCCATCTGCACAAGAGATGATCGCCTAGCTGAGCAGATGCGGTGTGTTTCGGCAAAGGGCAGGCAAGGCAGGCGCATCACACTACACGAGTTCTCGTGACGGCTCCTCCTCCCGCCCCTCTCCCTCCTCCTCCCGCCCCTTTCCCTCCCATTGGCTGCTCCGGCGCGCACGACACAATGCCGCACTACCTATGTAATGTACTGAAATACGTGCTCAGGGTTCGAAATTTTTTTGCACTTTGCAAAAGCTGCTTTGGTATTCAGCATAGAGCCTTTGGACAGTGACTCGGCCTCGAACCCGGCGCCGCGCCTGAAATCTGGAGCACTTCGGATGACGACGGGACTGGTCAAAGGAGAAGCCGGGCCTTGGGACGAGAAGACATAGGAGTGTCCCCTTTCATAGAATCTGCTCTTTGTTATTCCGTTCGCTGCCAAAACAACGGCGATATTTTTCAGAGTTGGTGGTCGTACCCGTTGCGTTGTCCAGACCAGTGGCCTGAAAAAAAAATAACTGGGAAAAACATGTCGGGTAAACCCCTTTTCCCTCGACAATCGCCGGACCCACTGGCGCTGGTCCCGCTGGTGCAATGAGCAGCGCTTCGCGCGCTGAAATGTTTAGTTCGTGGTGATACTACTCGCGGGGAGGCCGGGGCTGCGACCCGTGCCTGGGGTTGAGTAATTCCAGATCAGTTGTTTGAGAGCCTCGTGACTGTTTACTTTTTACCCCTCGAGGGGAACTTACCTCCTCTCCCCCACCTACCTCCGATAGGTCGCGCTTGTGGCGCCGCCGTGCCGTGTCACCACACTGCTGCAAGTCAATAAGCGGGTGAATTTGGAAACGAAATACATTAAAAAGGAAAGGGAGAGGGGGTATTTGCAAGCTGCTGCTTATCATAACCATCCTCTCGTTTGTCCCCGCATAAACGTGATGAATGCAGCTGCCGGTCAATAATCCCTCCCCGTCTATCGGCCCGTCTATCGGTGCGTTCGTGATCCCCCCGGTGGCGGCGCGGCCAGGACTGGGCGCTGGGAGATTCATTACATCGGAGACTTTAGTACCCCCTTCGCAGCCCCAGCCGGGGGGATTGTTGTAACAACCAGAGCTTCCTGGTCATGCGCCGGCCGCCGGCCCCCTGGGGCGCCGCGGGGGACGGCAGGATAGACGGGTGCGGATGATCTATTGGAGGTTTAGGCTCTGGCCGCACCGCGCCGTGCACCGCGAGGGTGGTCCGGCAGTAAAGGAGCGAGGGAAATGGTGACCTGCGGCCTGCTCGCCCCGGCCCCGCGCCCCCGCGCGCTGCCCCCTCGACGGTGTCCCCCTGGAGCGCCTTGCCCAGGAAGCTCCAGCTCCACTGCGGCCGCTGGAGCGTGTGCAACGCCCCGCGGTGCGTCGCGTCCTTGCCGGCGCTGCGGAGCGGTTCGCACACGGTGGGCCCGGAGGAAAGGGGGGGGGGGCAGGGCCCTCTGCGTGAGAGAGAGAGAGAGACCCCCATTGAACCAGAGCAGACCGTGCAGACCAGCAGGCAGTTTACAGACAATGGGTTGCCCAAACGGGAGGAGTGGCCGGCGCGGTCCGAAATGCAGGGGCACAGGGGGAGGGGAAGGGGGGCGGAGGCGCTTTGGAGCGAAACGCCACCTCCTCCACCTCTCCTCTCGTAGCTAAATGAGCTAGTCTGGAGGCACGCGTTACTCACGCTGCAACATAGTGTGTCGGTATCACTCGTTGCCCTACCTTTAACCTTTACTCCTTTTCCACTACAGTCGCTTTTGTCGTCTTTGTAATTTTTGTTTCTCTTAATGTTTATGTTTTACTTAATTTTGATTCCAGGCGGCCGTCCAGCAGCCACCATGAGGACGCCGGCGGCGCTGCTCCTCTGGGTGCTCCTCGCCGCGCACGCGCACGCCCAGTTCAAGAGCAAGGTAATAGACAGAGTCAAAAGCGGCGCCTCTCTCGCCAAGAACCTCCATGTTTAATCCGAGATTTAATCGCGGTTTTCTCCCAGCTCGCAAGAATGCCATCATCATGGGGCGCGTCTACTATACATCCGACCCGTTAACGGTCGCATTAATAGTTTTTTTTTTTTTCATCGCCGTAATCACTAATGTTGCTGCGGCGTCCTTACGTCACGTTTGGCGCCATGAAGGCCCACGGCACGGCGCGAGGACGCCCGCGCCCGCCGCCCGGGTTTACGATGCGCCCGGCCACACACGTGCATAGCCCCCAACCCAATCCCGGCAGTGCACACGTGCGCAAAAATATATATACACCGATCCGACGGTCGCGTTTTTATATATTTGACGATGTCGCCATGGCGTGTCGATATGCACCGCCGCCGGTACGCGTCCGCGCCCCGCTGCACCAGGAAGGACTCGCGATGGGCCGCGACGCGCCGCGCCCGCCGTACAGTCACTACTCGGCTGCTGCTTGTGTATCGTTTCCCGACGCCCTTGGCCTTTTCGTATCATCGCTGCGCGCGGGGCGGGGCGGGGCGGGGCGGCTCGTGGCTAATGACAGCTCTGTAATGGCTCCTTTATGGCCCGCCCGCCGCCCCCGCCCCGACTTACGCCCCGGCGGCGGATGGGCCTCGCCATCACTAATCAAGAGAGAAAGGGGTGTTTGACAGCAAACCTGCGTCGCCCCCCCGCCCCCCACAAAAAAATCTGTGGGGTTGTTTTTATTGTTTTTGTTTTTTGCCGATGGTGTGCTGCTTCTTTTTATCTCTTTTTTTTTTCTTTCTTTCTTCCCCTTGCCGCACTGACCTAGTATCCGATCCGGGCGACGCTTCGCTCGCGCTGCTGGGAGGGGTCGGGTTATTGCCTGCCTGTAATTTATCGCATGGCGCTGAGGTGTCAAGTCCACCCACGACTCTCTGGCGCGGCGCGGCGCGGCGCGGCGGGCTGCTAAGTGATGCGGACCACTCGCCATACCAATATGGGTGCATGACGGCGGCGGCGTCTCGGGGCTGCGTGCGGGCCGGGCGGCCGCTGGTGCCCGTTGCGCTGGTCAGGGTCGCAAGCCAAAGCCAGGCCGCCGCCGTGTGCGTCGCCTTTTCAGACGTGTCACTTATTCTCTCACGAATAACGTGCGTCGGGTCCGCGGGCCGGCAGCTCCTGGCAGAGTGCGCGGGTCAAAGTGGCCCGGCCGCCGCCCCCGCCCGCCCGGCACGCCGCCAGGCCACCCGGTAGGCCACCCGGCCACCCCGGTCGTGGTGGGACGGCCGCGTCGTTTTGCGGTCAGTCTGCGCGTTATATTGCCTCGCCTCCCGCGTCCGCTGCCAGTTCAACTACCCCTCTCTCCTCTCTCTCTCTCTCTCTCTTTGCAACGCGTTATCGCGATGCCTCTTTCACTTTTTACGCGGCTCCAGTATAAGTGTACTTTGCGTGCGTGTTGCAGCGAGCCAACAACCCCGACATCCCGGCCACCAGCTTCTCCTGCGTGGGCAGGCACAACGGCTACTACGCGGACGTGGAGACGGACTGCCAGGTAAGTGGCGGAACCTTTCACGAAACTATGTCAGCGTGTCCACCGATTCCACTACAGACTCTGTCGCTGACGCTTGTGCTCGACCTGCTGCAGGTGTACCACATGTGCCTGGACCGGCAGCAGTTCAGCTACTCGTGCCCCAACACGACGCGCTTCCAGCAGCGCATGATGGTGTGCGACCACTGGTACCAGGTGGACTGCCCCAGCGCGCCGCTCTCCTACTCGGCCAACCTGCTCATCGGGCAGCGCGACCGCCTGTTCGTGGAGGACGACGAGCACCGCGCGCTGCACGAGGCCAACGGTAGTAGACGAGCGCCGCGACGACGCCGTCCGCATGCGCGCCGTGCTGGTTTGGTTGCCTACTCGCCGGGTGGCGGGCGCTCACGGCCGAGCTCCTCACTCACGTTCCTTTGCTTCTGTTCGCAGTGCGCACCTCCAAGGGGCTGCTCAAGGGGCTGTCGCAGCCCGCCGCCAACGCCCTGGACGGCGGGGACCGATTCGAGAAGCTGCCCGCCCCCGCCGTCTCGACGACGCGCGCGCCCTTGGCGGCGCCGCCCCCGCTGCCCTCCTCCGCCCTGGAGCTGCCCTTCGAGGACGACGAGCCGCAGCGCGGCGCCTTCTTCCAGCGCTCGCCCACGTCCAGCTTCGCGCAGGTCTTCCAGAACCTGGTGCAGCAGCCGTCGAGTTCGACGTTTGCACCGCCCTCCAGCACTCCGTCCAGCATTCCGTCGAGCACGCCGTCGAGCACAACCGCGAGACCGAACTCGAGGTCGTCCTCGCCGAGCCTTTCCTTCACGTTCTCGCCGCCGTCGACCCCCACCCCTCCCCGCTTTTCCATATCCTTCAGCCCGTCGCCGTCGTTCCCCGCCAGCGGACACAACCTGCAGCGCCCGGCTCCGTCCGCCCCCAGCGGCCCCGCCTCTAGCGCCCCGGCCCCCAGCGTACCTTCTCCCACTTTTGCTCCGAGCACATCCTCGCCCACTACTTTCTTTCCCACTGGACCTTCGCCCACGGCGTTCTCCCTAAACGTCCCTACCTCGAATAGCTTCTCTCCGAGTGCGACGGCCAGCACCTTCTTCCCCAGCGGCCCCTCATTGAACACGTTCCCCTCCAGCGGCCCCTCGCCGAGCACCTTCCCCTCCGCGCCCGCGACCAACAGCTTCGCCTTCGGCGCTGCGCAGGTGAGGGTGCCGTCCAGGGAGCTGGAGGCGCCCGTGCAGGACTTCCCCGAGCCCGACGGCAACCACCTCCCCTCCGGACCCTTCCCGTCGTCGGCGCCCTCCCCGCCCCCGCCTACCAGCTTCCCGTCCTTCCCCAACACGTTCGTCCCGAGCACCGCTTCGTCGCCGGCCCCCTTTGAGATGGTTGCCCAGCAGACGTCGTCGTTCGCGGCGCCTTTCCCCCGCTCCGCGGCCGCGGTGCTGCCGGTGCCGCCCTCCCGCGAGCTCACGCCACCGCTCTTTGACAACGGATTCGGGTCGTCTGCCTCGGGCGCGTCCGCACCTGGGCAGTCCGCTTCCGGGCCGTCGGCGCCCGGTCAGTCCGGCCCCGAGCAGCCGGTGACGGGCGCCTCCGGGGCCGCTGCTTCGGGACCGGGGAGTTTCCCCCGGCCGTTCTCTGCGTTCAACTCGACACAGCGCTTCTCCCTGTTCGCGGCCACCGCCGCCCCCGCGGCCTCCCCCAGTGCCTCTCCCCGCGTGACCCCGCCGTCGAGGGAGCTCGAGGCACCGCTCGAGGAGAGCGAGCTGGACTACAACACCGTCGAGCTCAAGTACCAGGACACCAGGCGCCTCTTCTTCATCCCCACCGGAGACGCTGGCGGGGACGGCGGCAAGCAGGGTCTGGACGGCGACAACTCGGAGCCCGCTCCCGTTGTGGTCATCAAGTACCCGTCCAAGTCCACGCGCGGCGTGTCCGGCTCTACCACGCACCTCAAGTCATACTCCGAGGAGGTCAAGCGGCGCGTCGATCCCGCGTGTCCGCTCTGCCACCCAGACTTCGTGGTGCCCGGCACCTGCAGCCCCTGTGTGCTGCTGCGCTGAGCCCGAACTTAGCGAGGAGCTTAGCAAGGTGCACAGAAGGCAGACTGCATCGCGTTTGCAGCATTACATACCTTGCAAAACGAATAAGAAATTTTACAGTGTGTAATTCTACTTAACAAAGAAATGTTACTAGACATTATTTTGCTGTTTTTTCCATCTTAAGATTCCGATCAAAAAGTGATGCTTTCTGTCTATTGTGTGTGACCTTGTTGATGACTTTGTTATTTATTGATTTCTTTCTTACTGTGTCTCTTCTTGTAAATTGTTATGTCTTGATGCCAGACAAAAAAATAGGCCATGAAAATGCAACTTACAGTTAACTGAAAAAATGTAATGAAATATTTATCTTAAATGTATTGAGGGATCATTTTATTTCCATGAGCATCAATCAGAAGACTTTTACCAGGTGTATGAATTATAAAAATAATAGGTGTATAAAGAAATGTTTAATAAGTTTTTGTACTAATGTGTGAATGTGTGAGAAACTGTATTGTGTGATTTCCGACTGTGTAAATAGTTACATTATATGGAGTAAGTGGAATATGACCTTGTTATGTCCTGTCAAATTTTTCTCAAATTACAAAAAGAACATGTTCAATTTATTTAACCTGAAAGTAGCCAACTGTACACTTCATACTTCCCAGTGAGAAATGAAATATCGGATTGATATCAGAACGATGTCATTTGTCAATTTTCGCATCACTTCGATACTGAGATGGTTCTGAAACTGACACATATCTGATATTCGATATCGTTTCGATATCGGTCTGATATTTCATTTCTCACTGGGTTCTGTCCTGTGATTTATTGAAAGACATGAAGAAAATAGAGCCTGACTTGTACATTCGCCATAAACTATGTGAGTAGTGCTAAAAGAAAGTGTACATTTATTTTTGTTTTTATAGTGGAATAAAGTTACCTTGCTCAAAAGCACTTACCTCTGTTGACTTATCTTTTTCTATTTAAACCCGCTTAGCAAATACAATATAGCTATGCAGTACTGTACATGAAAGCTCAGCAAGCAACCTCAGTAAAATTGGTTGCAGTTTTAGCCACGTTGTCCGTCGGGCTTCGTATCTCGCGCTCAGAATAACCAAGTACTTCCTTTCCTTTCATATACCATTCAGAACACAAGGATCGTTTAAAAATTCATTCATAATATTTTGGAAGCAGTTGGAATAATTCTTAAGGAGAAACTGTGCTATACGCTGTCTTTGCTAAAAAGAAATAGTTTTCTAATAAAAAATGTTATCTGTGTTAGTGTGGTAACATTGCAATTTGTGTTCTGCAGTAAGTAAACATGGCGGCTCCTGGCAACAGTCCGTTGCATTCCCAAATACCGAAAATGGATAAACTTAACTGGAAACCCTTATCTCTCACCCTGGTTGAATATCCTGAAGGTACTTTTAACACTGCTCTTTGTTCTCATGTACTTCTAACCTCCAATATTGTGGTATTGACATGTCTTAGCCTGGATAGTGTTATGTATAGGTTGTTTTCTCCCTCTGTGTTCTGTTCTGTTCTGCTGCTGTGCCAAGCACACTATTTTATTTGTGTGCATCGTTGCATTCTCGTAGCAGTCTCAATCTACACGCTGGTTTCAAAAATATATTATTAAAATTGAACTAAAGTTTTACCCTTTAAATTCTCAAAATTTTTATGTTGAATTCTCCTGACTTTAAAGAAAAACAACTTACGTGCTATTTACCTACACATTTGTTTGCCTTGTTCAGGAGATGTATTAGGCCAGCTTCTTGCCCTTGTGAGCCTCACTCCATTTGCCATACTTGCTGGTTTCATCACACTTATGTTATTTCGTAGGGATTTACATACTGTGAGTATCACATCAGTGTATGTTACTCTTTGTGAATGAGACTGAGATTATTAATTTCAACTTTATTCCTAGATCGCATTTTTTCTTGGAATAATATTAAATGAAGCACTTAATTTTCTTCTGAAGAACTGGATTTGCGAACCTCGTCCACTAGTAAGACGAGTGACTTACCAAGAATATGGGATGCCTTCATCACACTCCCAATTTATGTGGTTTTTCACTCTCTATTTTTCTCTGTTTGTAATTGTCAGGTATGTTTTATCATATGCTCTAGTACATTTATTAATTCTTGAGGTTTTGTGTGTTCACTGTACTTTGTCCTTTGCAGACTTACGCACACCAACAACTACTCTCATATTGAATGGTTATGGAAAGGCTTACTACTGTTGGGAACCAACATACTTTCTACTTTAGTCACCATCAGCAGGTAAGTTTGTAATAATTTCCAATGATGCTAATATACGTCTGAGATCAGTACCTGTGTATAGTTTAGTTCAAATATACATTCATTTCTACAAAATGTTTCAGAGTGTATCTTCAGTATCATACGTGGTCACAAGTGGTTGGTGGAGCATTAGTGGGTGGTGCGCTAGGTGTGTCATGGTTTATTTTGGTCAACTGTTTCCTTAGCCCATATTTTCCAGCAGTGGCATCATGGTTAGTATCCTTTAAAATTTATTTTTAATCTCATGAATCATTTGTTAAGCATATTTTTAAAGAAAAACATTGTAAATTTTTGTTACAGGAAAATGTGTGAGCTCTTATTGATTCGTGATTCCTCTCTCATCCCTAATGTTCTCTGGTTTGAGTACACAAATATTAGGCAAGAAGCCCGTGCTCGCAGCAGGAAACTTGTCTCTATGAAGAGTCAATGACACCTGCTTGGCGGGGCGCCCTTAACAAACTGCAGTATTGAAAAATGGACGTCCCTCATTACAAATTTCTTCCAACGCAAGTGATGCATTAAATTGTAAAATAAATGTGAAGCACTATCCAAGTTTACTAAGATTTGAAGATCATCTGACATCTTTCGTCAATCCATCCAAAAGATCTGAGAGTTAGTTCAAATTATGGGTTTGGGCCAACGACTTCAAGACTTTTTAAAGTGTTGTTTGAAATGAACTGTAGGTTTTGGTTACATTCACTCCAAAAGTTTGCGGACAGCATGCAAGTGTTAAGTAATATTAAAAGTGAAATGAAGTTGTGCAGGATAAAAACGTTAGTGACTAGTACTTTGCTGTACAAATCGTTATCGATTAGTATCATAATTTTTATATGAACTTCTTAAAATCCATCTTTTAAAGAAAAATGAAAGTACTATCCTCGATTTTGTTAAATGGTTGTGTAGATTTTCTACTCCTTGTTTAAATTTGGGCTGCCATTTTTTCTTCCTTTGTTTAAAATATATATTTTTTTTTATTATAGTTGGATGTCTATTAACAAGTGATCAATGTAAGCTTTGATATTAGAATTTTGAAGGTATTTTGATGATGAGAACAGCACCTCTCTTTGAGCACAACTTTATACTGGCTGGTCATAGTAGCATAGAGCATTGTAACAGATTGTCTAGTTTGTTACCGTTATCTGTTGTTCCATTTAGCATGTGTGTTTCTGGTTTTGTCCTGCTGTGTTCTTTTGTACTATCTATTCCATAGTGACCAAGACTGTGCATTTTTTATTTTTTTATTTCTTGTGGAAACTCCCGGAGTATAAATGAATTATTGTCAACAGTATTCTGTAAGGTAATGGGTGTCACCTCTTCAAAATCTTAAAAGAGTTACTCTTTTTATATAAACTTAGGGCAAAATTATTCTTACCAAATTTGTCAGAAGATTTTGTCTGACACACTAAGAAGTTCTAAGAAATTTTCTATTGACTGCAAGCATGAGTCTTTTACCATACGACTTCTCATAAGTCCTCAATTTTATTCCAAATTTATATATGTATTCTTGCTGTCAATTATTAATCTGAATTCTTTTATCTTCTGAGCAGTAGTACATTTTAAAGTATGCTGAGTTTGGCCAAAGGAGATTGCTACAAGGAAATATATAGTTGGCTAATATATATTTAACAACTGATATTCCACTCTTTTTAAGGAAACTAATAAAAGTAGGTCAGTATCTCAAGTGACCATCAATGCTGCTCCAAGCTTCAATGTGGAAAAAAATTGACAGCTTGTTCAGCTTGCTCAAATCCATAGTGGTCTCACATTTTGTACTTTCGTACTCTGCTGAATGCCTAACTCAAGTAACCCATGTTGTGTTGGGGTATCCTTTTTCTTTTGACTGAAAGTGGGAAGATTTTGTTCATGGATGAATGATAGAACATTCAAGAATTAGAATACTGGTTACTGTTGTAAACTGATGTCTTTTTTAAATTCTATGAATTCTTTCTCATTGAACGAACATATATCTAAAGAGAAGATTACATTTTTGCTACTGTTCTGGTTCAGATACAATGTTTGATTGTACTCCTTGATACAGTTGTATCTTTATTTTCATAGTTTGGTTCATTGTCAAGACTGATAATTGTCAGGAGCTGAACATTTCATTTGGCATGGTTTAAAATTCCAACGTTTCATATCTCTGTGTATAAATTTTGTAAGTTTCTTGTTTCACCATCATTGACAATAACTATTATTTTTCTCTGAGATTTTTTGTGTGTCTGTGTTCTCATTATATTAATAGACTAAGAAGGATGTTGAATGATATTATCTAAAGTGTTCTTGGACATAGTGTTTTTAAGCCTTCAGAAAAGCATTTACATCAGAGAGAAAACTCTCTTTGATATTTGGTGTGCACTGTTGAAGCCAAATCCTCATCGTTTTCCGTTGATCTTCCCTAGTGTGGAGGCTTTTGTACTTCCTAGAATATTTTATTTTGCATCAATTAGAGTTCTTGCCAGCATATACTTCTACTGATTTTTTAAATCTAGCCGTAAGTATCTCCTGTGTCTTGAAAGCAATTGTGCTCCACATATTCTTGCATCATTTGGTATTGGTGAGTACTTTCTTTCCTTTTATGCTTACAGAGAAAGAAACATCAGCACTAATTTTATACCAAGCACATTAAGATATCTGGATTAGGAGTAGATACCATGTATGTGGTAAAACAAAACTAAAATGAGGAACTATATGTTTGTAGCCTCATAGCAGAGCAGGAAAAGTGCTCTCTTGTGAGCGAGTACCTACTGCATAATCTTCCTGCCATAATGTTAAATTATTTGAATTGCAGTGTTTTTTCTCAGCACAAATGAAGATTATAACATTAAAATAAGTGTTGGCTTAGCCATTATAATTGAACCCACAGATCTCATTGTGTTTTCTTTTGTTTCCTTTTAAAGTAAGACTTAGCATAGGGTTCATTTACTAGCATTGTCTCTAGTAAATATTATTGCTTATGAGACTGTACTTTGTGCAAGTGACACTTCATTTTTGTGAGGAGAATATAGCAGTTCACTTAATTCATTATAAAGCTAGTGGCTTTTATTGATTCAGTCACCAGATACATTTATAATAAAAACGATCGGGCTTAGATGCCATGATGTGTTGATCTATCTCAAAATTTGTAAAAAAAAATCTGTGATCGTAATGCATTATGTTGTTTTGATTGGATTAAAACACAGAGTCAAGGCTAGTCTCCAATCACTAATTTTACACGTGAATGTGTGAACATAACAATAACAAACATAACAATTTTACACATAAATGTGTAAATACTGAAGGGACGTGAAATATACTTTGTAATATTTTTTTCACATCACTTGATGTTTAGATAGTTTTCTTGGACGTTCCACTTACCATGGAACTATTTCTATCCTTTTCAAAATCTGGGATCTTATGTTCCTGTCAATGGTGGAACTTGTTTGTGGTTGTCATGTGTAGTACAAAGTCATACCCCCAAGACAGATGATCTAATTATTGTATAGCTGCTGTAATTCTCTCAATAAGCTTATGGATTGAATTTGTTCTTCCTTTGATGTTTGTGCTAGTCGGCTGTTAAGAATCAGGCATTGATTAAAGATTCAATAAAATAAATGTT